TATAATATAATATAATATAATATAATATAATATAATATAATATATTATAATATAATATAATAATAATAATTATATTATAATATAATATAATAATAATAATTATATTATATTATATTATATATTATATAATTATAATAAAGCAATTTAATTTATATATATTTTTTTAAATAAAAAAACCGACTGAATTCAGTCGGTCAATCTGATCTCCACGCGATACAAAGCTAATAGAAAGAAATCAAAGCACCATAGGTTGGAGGAAACACCATAGCTTACAAGTTAAAACAGCTTCGAGCGCAAAGGGTTAAAGAAGTCATTGCGTTTCAAGCCGCAAGATTCGGATACACGGAGAGCGATTTGCAACTCGGACGCGTTCTGCTTGTTAGTCGAAATTAGTTCCACCGGTGCCGTTTGTGCGGGAAGTTGCCCGACACGGTCGCAAAAATGACCGAACGTCACCGTTTGCCGCCGTTCGTTGCTTTGGATTCTCATTAAGAGGCAATGCCTCGCAACTTCTGTCTACGGTATTATGCGAGCAATAAGGAGCGAGCGCTATTTCCTGGGAAGCTGCGACCGCATTGCTTAGCCAAGCAAATAGTTAGACTGCGAGCCGGGGAGAGAGACCGCCGAGCCCTCGCAGTATACACCGGCGGGATGCACTCAGCTTTGCATTAATAAAACATGCGGCTGGCTCAGCTTTCGCGAGTATTCACCGACTCCGGGAACTTGGCGTCGATGAAACGAAAGCACCGAACAGCTTGCGCCGCGCTCGCTGATATATCGTGCGGGCCGAATAGACGGTGGTTCTCTGCTCCTATTTTTCCGTTTCCTTTTTCTTTCGTTTTTTTCCGGTTTTTCTTTTCTGTTTTTTTTTTTACGGAAAATCGTCGACCCCCCCGGCTTTGCAGAGTCGTCGATGAAAAGCCGCGGAAAATGAGCGGAAAAATACCAGAGCACGCGATGCGAACGTTCCGTTTCCGTTTTTCTTCTTCCCGCGATCGAATCTCTGCGAGATTAGTTATTCCTTTAACGAGCGGTTCTCCGTTGTCGTTTCTACGATCGAAAATTGGCTCGGATGTACGCGGAACGATTGCCTCGTTCTTCCCGAATTTCCATTCCGGGACATTTTTATGCGAAATCGCGGAGAACTGTCGCCGACGCGACATTATATTGATTTATTGATATTTATATAGGCGACTGTATATTAGCACGAGAACGCGAACGTTATACGTCTGTAAATATAAAAATATGATTTTCGTTTGGAAACAATTTTCACGTAGGTCGAGAGTGCGCTGAGGAAAACGGAAAATTGATTTTTGGTTAGATCAATCGAAGATTGGCAGATTAAATTCTACTTTGTCTGCGCCATTTCGCTGAGTGAAAAATTATAAAAATATTCCGTAAATATTTTGTCCGACGGGACACATTGTTCTAAATTTTTTAAAAAAATTGTAAACTTGAGAAATGGTGATTTTTTAATGACTTTATCGAACGACCATATTTATATTTTTATAAAAGCAATAAAATTGAACAGTTTATAGTGCTTAATCTTGTAAAAATGAATCTCGTAATTTTTTATATGTTTAATATTGTATATAATATATAATATAAATTATATTATATTATATTATATTATATTATATTATATTATATTATATTATATTATATTATATTATGTTATATTATATTATATTATGTTATATTATATTATATTATATTATATTATATATATTATATTATACATATAATATATATAACATTTTATTACATTTTAATTCGTTTATTGACGTTCGTCATTCGAAAGCTTATGAAAACGTCGAGTCTTGCGAAATACTCGTGACAGCTGATTCAAAAGGCATTTATATTTCAGTAATTAATAACAAAGCATATATTTTAGCGTTATTTTCAGATAAATATCGTCATCTTAATTATTATCGTCTATCCTGAAATATTACTTACTGATTAGTAATTTTGCACAGCGGTATTCGGCGCATAGGTTTTTACTATGTGCACGCATTACTGCGGTGCTTTAGCGAACTGCGTGCCTTAATCTACGTAGAAACAGTTCTCAAAATAACAATAAACAATAAGAACGTTCACAAGAGTCGCGTCACGAAAGTTTTCTCTTATTTTTCTTAGAAACAGAAGGGATGCGAACATGTAATAAATCGTGAGTATTTTTCATTTCGAAGAATATTTAGACCTCGGCGATATACTCGACTTTTCCTTCTCTTCGTTCGATTTTTCGAGCCGCGGCTCTTTGAAAACGGCTCTTTGACGGAGAAGATTTATCCGTGAAAGAGAGAGGTTGATCAAGTGCAGGACACGCGATCTTTCATTTGCCAGGCGACTTCTTTGTCCGGCAACAATAAGCTGTCCAGGCCATGGTCGACTTTTCCTCTCGAAATTCGCGTACAACGTCAGCGCGAACGCACGACATTTTTGCTTTTTATGCTTCGTCGTTTAGGTTATTCCCGTTGTCCCGCGGACAAGCAACGAGATGTAATATAATATATATGTACGAATATTTAACGAAATTAGTTTGTAGCAACAGAGAGAAAATCAACCATGGTTCAATTGCGCGCGGATAAAATGTTGGTATAAATTATACTTTCAAAACGCTGGGATACTCTTTACTTACCAAAGGAAGAATGGTAGCCAACAAAGGAGGAACGCCCCCATTATTATTCCGAGCGTCCTCGCTGCTTTGTGTTCGGCCCTCCAACTTTTCGTTTGTTGTCGTATGGAAGTACCTGAAAAATAAAAATTTATGGTAGCAACGTGAAACGATGAAGAGAGAGAGAGAGAGAGAGAGAGAACTTCGCGTTATTTAGTTCCTTGATAAAAGTTGATGGCTCGCGCGAGTTTCTATTTTACGGTAAACAACGGGTCGGGACACGCGACTGCGCGGCCGAGCATTCACGAAGCCCACTGACAATTACATTTTCAGCCTCGGATGGGAACGGTCGACGAATTCGAGGATCCGTGCGACGCGGATTCGGTTTAAACAAAATCGCGTTTTGTCGCGTGCTCGATGGTTTTGCCTTTGATAAATCGCTGGATATTTGCCGTGTTATTATATTATTATTATTATTATTATATTATAATTATATTATATTGTTATATTATTATATTCTTATGTTCTTGTATTCTTGTATTCTTATATATATTCTTTTTATTCTCATATTCTCATATTCTCATATTTTCATATTCTCATATTCTCATATTCCTATATTCTTATATTATTATCTTATTATCTTATTATATATTTACATGGTTATATATATTATTATACCATTATATTATTATATTATTATATTCTCATATTCTCATATTCTCATATTCTCATATTCTCATATTCTTATATTCTCATATTCTCATATTGTCATATTCCTATATTCTTATATTCTCATATTCTCATATTCCTATATTCTTATATTATTATCTTATTATCTTATTATATATTTACATGGTTATATATATTATTATACCATTATATTATTATATTATTATATTCTCATATTCTCATATTCTCATATTCTCATATTCTCATATTCTTATATTCTTATATTCTCATATTCTCATATTGTCATATTCCTATATTCTTATATTATTATCTTATTATCTTATTATATATTTACATGGTTATATATTATTATACCATTATATTATTATATTCTCATATTCTCATATTCCTATATTCTTATATTATTATATTATTATATATTTACATGGTTATATTATTATACCATTATATTATTATATTATATAATTATACTATTATATTATTATTTTATTATATTCTCATATTCTCATATTCTTATATTCTCATATTCTCATATTCTCATATTCTCATATTGTCATATTCTCATATTGTCATATTGTCATATTCTCATATTCCTATATTCTTATATTATTATATTATTATATTATTACATCATTATATTATTATATTATTATATTATTATAATCGACAGTTATTAATAAAGCCGTATGAACGGACGACCGCCAAAGCTCAAGGTCGTCCACTGGACCAGCACAGTCGCATTTGGGTGAAAAACGAATCTGTAATTTATTCACACACTCGTTCATTACCGAGCGATATTTCGTTCATTTGACCGACACATGGAATTACAACGGCGCGCAGCTGCGGAGGAAAATTATTCGCGGCATACATATTACGCATTCCACAACATGATTTTTCTGTTTGTTTCACGTTTCCCCCTGGCGTTCTTTACTTAGGACAGAAATAATCTCGTTATTCAGCCTTGTAACAGCTGTTTCTATTAATGTCTCGATTGTTTACGGTCGTATAGAAAAATTGTTTCGCCGCATGTGAATGCGTCGTTACTTTGTGCAAATGTTAAACGTTAAATGTGTAAACGCGCGTTACGTCACTTTATACCTGTCATTTTCTGCTTGTCACACAAACGTTTCTAGATCTTAAAAGACAATATTTTTCGGAACCTCAATTTTTGGAACTGAAATATGATTCGATTATCTTTTTGTTATCAATAATGATTAACGGGACGGGCGTATTTTATTTTCCACGCTAATGAATCATTCTTTTAATAATTGAAAGTATTTCTTGGAATATATATACTTTCGGAATTCTTGCGAATTATTCTAGAGAAATGTTCACTATGCAATGAATACAGTGCAATAACCGTAACGAATGATCTATTTAACTCTTAGCAAAGAAAATTTCTGCATTTGAAACGAATGAAGTTCATATTCCATTCATCAATTTCCACAATATCTTTTCAACTGACACTCGAACGAAACAAATTACGACGACCAGTTAATAAAACCTTTCGCTCTGATTACGCGTAAACAACGAACTTTGTATGCAACACGAGCCGCATGCACGAGTGAATAACGATCTTAAATTCTTAAATCTGTCGGCGATTATTTTCGTCGCAGCTGCGCGCAGGGGGGATTATTAATTACGCTACGCCAGCGAAACAACAAAGTATCCGAACTCATTCGGCATCATTAATTTACTTTTCTCTGCGCAGTTAAATTATGCACGCAGCTCTACACAGATTAAACAACGGCTCGCGCGATACGAACTCGTTATTTATGTTAGAAACAGGACCAAAATTCCATTCCGTCTAATTGCATCCTCCCCGCCCCCTGCCACTGCATTTCTTCCCATCTTCTCGTTTCAATTAATTTTCCAGGATTCGTTTCAGATTGCTTCGTTCGTTTTTACCGAACGCAGCAGCAGCAGCGTCAAAGGCGTTCCAATGTTTTCTCCTTAAATCGTCGCTCTTCAATTTCGCCCCGCGAATCGTCATTTTCCAATTTGCGTTGGAAACCCTACGCGCGCGCCGCGTTATCACTTTGCTAACAATATTCGAGAGAAACGACACGCGTTTACGCTCGCGAGCCGCGGCGGCACGTCCGCGCTGAATCTCTAATTAGAATTCGCCGCCGGACACATTACCCCGTTAGCTGCAGAACGTAATTTTTCTTTTCGACGTTGACCTTTATCATCGCCGATGCTGCCTCCGTGTTCCGCCACCGTCGTCGCACGCAACGCCGTCACTTTTTACCCGCGTAACATCCTTCCGCCATGATCTTCTTGTCGCAGATTCATTTATTTTCGCAGGATTTTCATTGAATTCCCCCGAGCGACTTGTCATTTTCAACGCGCGAACCATTAAAAACGCACGCGATTTAAATAACCGGACATTTTTTAATTGTTATGCTCGTCCCTGCGCGCGAAAACCGGCGCAAACTTTTCCGCTGTTATTGTCCCGATGAAAATGACATTTAAAGTACTTCGAAGGTAGCGACAGCTCAATTTTTTCGTATATACGTAAGTAAGAATTTGTATAATGTAATATGTGCTAACGATTGATCCTTTATCAATGAACAAAAATAATAAAATGCTTGTATTTTAATGGAAACTTGTAATAAACTCTTTTCTATTAATGTCTGAATTATGCTTGGCACTGATTAAAAATGGCGCTTTAAAGTTTTTCAAAATACGATTATAAATACGTGTCGTAAAATAAAAATGTTTATAGATCTCTTTATCTATCAACGATCCAAAAAGTATAATCTTTAGATTTAAATAAAAATACGTATAAATTCTCTTCTTTCTAATAACTGATTTATAATAGCATTTAATAG